TATATTTGTATGTGGATCAACACACATCTGGGCATGTGCTGCCTTTCTGTTTATTTCAGATCACTCCTGTGTTGTTTTTATATAACATTTCTCCAAAGAGTTGATCTGGAGTTTGAGATTCTCCTCAGGTTGTGTATATTTATAAGCTGCTTGAGAGCATGGTCATTGCTGAAACATCTTCAGCAAGTAAGTAGTGTTTCAGAACCTGAATTTGCTAAGGAGAAAAGCCAAAGTAAGTATGAAGTTATTGAGAGAAAAAATAAAATGCGATCATAGTAAATAACATAATTTGCTGTAGATCAGCAGTGCCTTTTTGTAGCAGCAAGAAAACTGCACGCAAAAAACTTGACCAAAAAGCTGAATTGCTGTGTCAGAGGATGCTCTGTAAAGCCAGAAATTATAATAACCAGAACTAAGAACTTGAAAATGAGAGCAATGGGACTCATTTACGGAGATTAATTATCATTTAATGCTGACTTATAAAGGTTTCAACACTAGTTGTCTAGTAAGTTATCTAATAATTCTACTTTTTAATGGAAATGGTAGAAAACAGCTGTGTCATGCCAGCATATGTAGCCTTCCAGTCTCTTGATTTAAATAATTAATGTTCTCGCCTTAGGGGGAGAGTCCCTGGGAGGAGAGACCTAAGGGAAACCAGTTTTTCTTCAGTCCCTTCTCTGCTAATGAATAATACCTTTCTCCCTGGGGCCGTCTGATTGAGCAATACAGTTTATGACTTGAGGACTAAGCTTTTAATTCTGGTATCCTAGTTTACTACTTGCTGAAGCAACAGTGGTTAGATGACATTGTCTGCTTTTGCCAGAATGATTAGTTATATTCTTCAGTTAAATGTTAATTTAGCCAGTCAAATAATTTATGCCCTTTATGATATAAATAGGGAACTCTTTGAATAGGTAATGATAATTGTATCTTTTAAATCTGGTCCACTTGTTATCTGTAACTCCATTTTTGTACTTTATCTCATGCTGTCTTGTTTAGTATGTATAACTTTGTTTTCAGTTTGAATGTGGCTTCCTAAATTTCAGATGGTAACACTTAGGGGCTCCTCTTCTTTCACTCCTGCAAGTCAGGGTGTTGAGACTTGGCCGGTCCCAATAGAGAACTGTCTCATCCAGTGTTTCCTACTAGCTTCCCGGCTCTTGGGGAGCTTATCACATATATCATCGGCCCTAACCCCTTTCTTTTGATATTTTCAGTCCAGTTCTACTTCCAAAAAAAGTTACCAAAGTCTGTTTAATCCCCCTCTTTTTTCTTTAATGAAAAAATATTCTGCTTTCTTTCTTTCCTTTATTTCCATTTGTAAGCAAAAAAAAAAAAAAAACCCACAAACCCGTATCTACCTACATTAGTTAAGGGTATCAAAACCCAAGAAGTCCCTAAAAGTACCCTTTAAAAACCCTTAAGTTTCTTTTTCTCTTCTTTCATTCTAATTAAGCTACTTTTGCTTGAAGCAATAGCATTCACTAAGAATTTTCTTAATGCCTTCTAATTTTTCAGTTTTGTTAATATAAAAGAGGATTTTCCCCTTGCTATTTTCATTACATAAAATAGTTTTGCTATATTTTGAGTTAAATAATTATTTATGGGTTAACATATATAGCATGTTTTCTTTTGAACACAGTCCGATTGAAATATTAGAGTTCCTGAAATACTATTGTATCCCTGTATCGTAGGTAGGCCCATGATTGGCTACCAATAAATACTGGTTAAATTGTTTCTTAATTTCTATTGAACTGTTTACTATTTCGTTTGTATAAAATTTGAGGTCTTTTGCAGTATCTAAATGGATGAGGTTGACCTACAAAGAGTGAGCTTTAATTTCATTAATTTGTTCAGAAATCTGAGTGTCTGCAGCGTGTGAGCACTGTGTCGGTCTGGATGGAGTAATCAATAAATGAAGATTGTTTCAGATAACATCAAATACTAACAAGAAATGAAACAGGGTGGCTGTGAAGAGAGACTGTTAGGGAGTGGGTGCTGCCTTACACAGGGTTGTCTTGAAGGAGATTACTCTGTAGACCTACCATTTAAGCTCAGATCAGAATGAGCTTAAAAAAAGATAGGGGAATGGTGTTGGCTAGAATAAAGGAGCCAAGGCAGACTTGGACTTGGCAGGAGCAGAAGGGATATGATTGGAGCCTGAGGAGTGGATGGGGGCGTTGGCAGATGAGATCAGAGAGGTAGCCAGAGCGGGAAGGGCTTGCTGTTATGTGGGCTGTGGTCAGGAGTTGGGAATTCTAATTGTAGTGAGGATTTTAAGCAGAGGAGTGATATTTTATTTTCAATTGCTCATGTAGGCTGCTTTTTAGAGAATGGTTTCAGGTTTTAGTAATCCTAGAGACATTTTGAACTATATATTCAGCTGCTGGTGAGAAATAAAATAGGTCTGCCAACTTCTGGACTTTCTTCTTGTCTCCCAGCAGCTCCTACTTTTAAGCCAGATTTTTGCTTTTTTTTGTTTTTCTTTAAGAGACAGGGTCTCGTTCTGTTGCCCAGGCTGGAGTACAGTGGCATGATCATAGCTCACTGCAGCCTGGCTCCTGGGCTAAGGCAGTCCTTCCGCCTCAGCCTCCTGAGTAGCTGGGACTACTGGCACACGTCACTATGCCTAGCTAATAAGTCAGCTTTTTAATAAATGCATTTTTTTTTTTTTTTTTTTGAGACAGAGTCTCGCTTTGTTGCGCTGGCTAGAGTGAGCGCCGTGGCGTCAGCCTAGCTCACAGCAACCTCAAACTCCTGGGCTCAAGCAATCCTACTGCCTCAGCCTCCCGAGTAGCTGGGACTACAGGCATGCACCACCATGCCTGGCTAATTTTTTCTATATATATATATATTTTTTTTTAGTTGTCCAGATAATTTCTTTCTATTTTTTGGTAGAGACGGGGTCTCACTCTTGCTCAGGCTGGTCTAGAACTCCTGACCTTGAGCGATCCACCCACCTCAGCCTCCCAGAGTGCTAGGATTACAGGCGTGAGCCACCGCGCCCGGCCATAAATGCATTTTTAAGTATGTGGGAAATGGCTTTGGTGTGAAAACATTGTGCCGCCTGTGAAGTGCATTGCTCCATGGTTTGGAGGAGGGGAAAGCACAAGTTAAACCCCAGGAGTAGAGGATGGTGTTACCATGACATTCTCTTTTGCTCTAACTGCACATCCTGCTCTAACTGCAAAGCCTCCTTTTGTGATGGAAGTTAAGTGAAATACAGCCAGCTTATAGAGCATGTATTTAATGTTCTGAGGATGTAAGAGAGAAGGAACGGTTTGGGGGTGAAATTAGGGAGGAACCACTTCTTTTTTCCCAGTGATAAAATCACCTGCACCGTGTTCTATTAACAGAAAAGCCAAACAGTAAAATAAAGAGGTTTGTTTTGAGCCAATGTGAGTGACTGAGGCCTGGGGATACACAAACCCCAGAAGTCCAGATTACGGTTTGGTTTTATACATTTCAGGGATACAGGAATTTCGTGTAAAATCATAAATCAGTGCATGGAAGGTATACATTGGTGCACCCTGGAAAGGCGGAATATCCTGAAGTGGGGGCTTACAGGTTATAGGTGGATTCATAGATTCTTAATTTGTAATTGCTTAAAGGAATAAAGCTTTATCTAAAACCTTGGAGTTAGTAGAACAAATGTTAGAGCCAGCTACCATATACCTGCTCAAAGTAACCTGTTAAACAAAATTGATGGCCAGCAGGCATGACTTAACCTTTGCTTTGCATGGCCTTAGGTCTTGTTTGTGATTTAGTATCTTATTGCCACAAAGAATCAGTTTTGTCAGTCTTATTATCTCTATTTTAACATTAATGCTAGTAAATTGTATCTAAACTCCAAAAGGGAGAGAGTATAACCAGGCATGTCCAACCTCCCTGGCTTGACTGGAAACTCAGTTTTAAGGTTTTCCTGGGGTCCATTAGTTCACTTGGTGCAGGGGATTTAGGATTTTCTAATATTTTTAGTTTATAGTTCTTTCATGGTTTCTTCATAAGACATGTACCCTGTTCTAGACTCTCCTAGTGGAAATTTTAGGTAACAAGTAGAGGGATGAGAAGTTAGGGCTCTAATTCTTGCTTTGTTAACATACAAGCTCAATTATTACTAGTGATTTTTGTGAAATCCAAAACATTTCTTAGTTGTCTAGGTATTGCTAGGCCTTTGATACTGAATGATTGAGGTAAGATTTCTATCTTCAAGCAGTTTTTTAAAAGAAAAACTTTTGTTGGCCGGGCGCGGTGGCTCACGCCTGTAATCCTAGCTCTCTGGGAGGCCGAGGTGGGCGGATTGTTTGAGCTCAGGAGTTCGAGACCAGCCTGAGCAAGAGCGAGACCCCGTCTCTACTAAAAATAGAAAGAAATCAGCTGGACAACTAAAAATATATAGAAAAAATTAGCCGGGCATGGTGGCGCATGCCTGTAGTCCCAGCTACTCGGGAGGCTGAGGCAGGAGGATCACTTGAACCCAGGAGTTTGAGGTTGCTGTGAGCTAGGATGACGCCACGGCACTCTAGCCCGGGCAACACAGTGAGACTCTGTCTCAAAAAAAAAAAAACAAAAAACTTTTGTTATGTATTTTCAGATTATTCTTTTTAAAAGCTGTACCTGGTAACACTTCTAACAGTCATGTATGAAAGAGCATGAAGAAACTTATCATTTTTGTTAATTTCCATATTAAAATTAAATAGCTAGATTTCAAGGACAGGTAGACATTAGCTTACTTTGGACCTTATTTAAAAGTTCACCTTTAACAATATCACATGTGCTTGTTGGTCAGTAGTATTTGTTTATGTCACAGAAGTGTTTAATTTGTAATAGATTGATTGCTTAAAGTCTGCTCTTATACATCAAATTAATGAAATTTGTTTTTTGACCCCAGTACCTTCACTTTCTTCATCTATTAGAGTGTTTTTTTTAATAAAGCAGTAGAATTAAAAATTTTTACCTTAATATGCCAGTACATACTGAGTTGTTATTCTCTTTTTTAGGGAAATCCTCATTGACGATTCAGTTTGTTGAAGGCCAATTTGTTGACTCCTACGATCCAACCATAGAAAACAGTAAGTATTGTTTTCAAGTCCTTAAAAACTGAGAAGCCTCCTTTTGTGTACAAATAGCCATTGTGTGTTCATGGAGGCTTTGATTGCGAACGATAAAATCTATATAATTCCCAATTGGGGTCAAAGAAAACTTCCAAAAGCTTTACCCACTTTACACTGAAAGATTTTTCATTCAGTGTCCACATCCCCTGCCGTCTAGAAAGTGTTATTCAAGTCCGTAGGAATCCAGTCCAGTATTGAAACGTCCATATTCCATAATCAGCTTTAAAACAGGAATAGAGAATAGATTTTTTTTTTGCCCCTTCTTAGTGGTAGTAGCCCTTTTTAAGGATGCCAAGCCTGCAAGAATGAAAACACTCCAGGTCCCTTGTTTCTTGCTCTTATAGAAGCAGTAATACACCACTACCCCCACCTACGATTTCTCCACAGCCGCCTTTTCAGTCCTAAAGACTTGAAAGAGAAATGGCCTGTTCTGGCATTGGAGAGAGCAGTTGCGGCATTGGAAAGAATTCGGCTCCAAAAGCCTGCCAGCATTTCAGGCCATATGCAGACAAAAGCAGGGGGGACCAGAACCAGCCACAACCTTTACTTTGTTCATTTTCAATCCATGGTTTCAGAATCTTCCTGAAGGATTCTAGGACCATGAGACAAACCTTTTTTTTTCTTTTTTTTTTTTAAGAAACAGGGTCTCCATATGTTAACAGACTTTGAACAGACTTTGAACTCCTGAGCTGAAGCTGTCCTCCTGCTTCAGCCTCCCAAGTAGCTGGGACTACAGGTGCATGACATGGTGCCCAGCTTTGATTCTAGGAATCACTAAGGACAATGTGAAACTGTTTCATCCATTGACGCTGGTCTTGTTTTAGGTTATCTTAGAGCTCCAGTTGGTCCTGGAACCAGTCTTCTCAGATACTTGAGACCAAGACTTACCTAGGATTTGTCACTGGGCACATTCAGGTTTAAACATGGGATTCATCAAAATCTGATTAGCATATTAGACATTTAGACATGAAGCAGACTTAACAGCGAGGTTCATAAACTTGGTAACAACTAGATTCATAGACTTTACCTGCCTGAAGCTTCCAAGAGAAACATTTTAAATGCTTTGGCTTACAACAGGGGGGTTGGCATACTCTAGCCTGCAGTCCAGAAAGGTCCACTGCCTGGTTTTGTACAGCCTAAGAAAGGTTTTTACATTTTTAAATATTTTTTAAAAGTCCAAAGAAAAATAATATCTGTGACATGAAAATTATATGAAATTCAGATTTTAATATCCACAACATTTTGTTGGGACACAGCCATGCTTATTCCTTTACACCTTGTCTATGGCTGCTTTTGCTCTACAGTGACAGAATTGTTGAATAGTTATAGCAGAGACCATATGGCCTACAAAGCCTAAAATATTTATCATCTGGCTCCTTACAGGAAAAATTTGTCCACCCTGGCTTAAAATATTTGTCTGTCCTTTGCATCCCAGTGTGCTAGTGGCAGAGAAGGAAACCTGTTGTTTGATTAACTCTAGGAAGACCCATGCTTGAAAGTAAACTCTGTGGGTATCTGCACAGAGAAGTCCTAACTACATCCTGTTTAGCTAGTGAGTTCTAGAATAGTAAGCAAGGGTGAGGAGGAGATTAATATGAATGCTAGGTGAACAAGTTTGACTATCTGTCCACTGGAATAAGAAGAAAACCATGATCTTGGCCTTTGATACTTACTACTCATAGCAATTTAGGATTTTATGTCCTTAAGATGGTAAGGTTCATTTGACAATTTTATCTGTAAGAACAATTAGAAGATAGTTTTCTTGGTAAATTCTCCCTATTAAGGTGTTTTTTTGTTTTTTTAAAATAATTCATATCCTTATGCTATTTAAAAATGAATTGGGCCAGGCTCAGTGTCTCACGCCTGTAATCCCACGCATGGGATTTGATAGGCTGAGGCTGGAGGATGGCTTGAGGCCAGGAGTTCGAGACCAGCCTGGGCAACACAGTGAGACTCTGTCTCTACAAAAAATTTTTTAAAAAATTAGCCAGCCACGGTGGCATGCCTGTGTAGTCCTAGCTACTCAGGAGACTAAGGAGGGAGGATCACTTGAGCCCAGGAATTCAAGGCTGCAGTGAGCTATGATTTTGCCACTGCTCCCCAAGCTTGGGTGACAGAGCAAGACCCTGTCTCTTAAAAAAAAAAAAATTTTGGTTGGAAGGAAAGTCATGGTGTTGTGTAACAATACTTTTTTTTTGTACATAAGTAATGGATCAGAAAAAAGTCCAATTTACGTAACTTGATATTATCTCAGAATATGACATGACCCCTACTCAAAGCTGTCAGCATTATTTTTAATCATGTTTTGAAGTTTTTCCTATCTTAATGTTCAGTAATAAAGACTTTTTAATCTCAAAAATGAATTTAGACTATTTGTTTATTAAAGTCAGTAGGCAAGAGCAGAAATGAATATCTCATTATATGTATCCATTAAAAGTTCATGGCGCGGCCGGGCGCGGTGGCTCACGCCTGTAATCCTAGCACTCTGGGAGGCTGAGGCGGGCGGATTGTTTGAGCTCAGGAGTTCGAGACGAGCCTGAGCAAGAGCGAGACCCCATCTCTACCAAAAATAGAAAGAAATTAATTGGACAGCTAAAAATATATAGAAAAAAAAATTAGCCAGGCATGGTGGCGCATGCCTGTAGTCCCAGCTACTTGAGAGGCTTAGGAGGCAGTAGGATTGCTTGAGCCCAGGAGTTTGAGGTTGCTGTGAGCTAGGCTGACGCCATGGCACTCACTCTAGCCAGGGCAACAAAGTGAGACTCTGTCTCAAAAAAAAAAAAAAAAAAATGACGCATGGTTAGACATTATATTCTACGTACTTCCGATAGTCTGACACAGGGCAAAAGCCTTTATTCCCACCCTTTCCCCCACTATTTGGTATTAACAGAAAAACATTGTTCAGTGATTTTAGTGAATTAGAAAGAAAGGAAATGGTTATCATGAACTTGTTGCTAACAACATAAGTGGATGGTTTTTGATTTTTTTTTTTTTTTTTTTTTTTAAAAAGGTTCCCCTTTTTTGCCCGGGCAGAGAGTCACGGCTTTTAAGACTAGTCCAGTGCAATAGTGAGGAGGGGGGTTAAGTAGTAGAACAAGGAGTTCAATCTGTAACTGACTATGAACAATCAAGTGAGATAACTCACTACCTTCGGACCAGCCGACAGTTTTTGATTTTAAAAAATATAGTGCTCTCTAGATCTGGAAATCTGTAATTATTTTATACTTACCTTTATAAGATAGAACAGGCTGTTTGTTTATAGCAAACATCCAGTGGTGGCACATTTCTATGAAGCATCACTGTAAAAGCAAAAGTTCTGGGACTGTGTTATCTTTTACAGTAGGAGTATAGGAGAATAACATCAATAAAACCACATATTTTCCAGCTTGGGCACATTGTTAGACCAGAAATATTGTTTAAGCAAATGTGCTTTATTATTTATTGTAGTGTTAATCTGACAACTCAATACAAAGTAAATTGATATTAGACACCACTAGTGTTTTTTGATGAATATTCGGTTTTGGACTGTTTCTGCACTTCATCTTTAGCCAACCATTGTGTGGAATACTTGGCGATTGTCAGAAAGAATCCATTTTTCATCACAGGTAAGAATACGGTGTAGAAATGGTTCTCCTTTATAACATGACAGCAAAAAAAGGCAAGCTTCAAGACGATGTCTCTGGGTCAACTCTTTTAGTTTATATGGAACCAATCTGTCTAGTTTCTATACCTTGCTGATTTGTTTCAAATAGTCCAATATTGTTGGAATAGTAACGTCAAACCTTACAGCTGATTCATGTGTAGGTTGAGATGGATCCGCTTCCACTATAACTTTCAGCTAATCATTATTCACCTTGATCTCAGGTCGCCCACGCGGCTTATTTTCAAGATTAAAATCACCAGAATGGAACTTCTCAAACCATCAGTGTGCTATGCATTCATGAGCCACATCCTTCCTAAACACTTTGTTGATATTTTGAGCTGTCTGTGCTCATTGGTTCCGTGATGGAACTCATATTCGAAAATAACACGAATTTTTGACTTATCCATGGTTTCACAGAAATTGCTCTAAAAAAAATTTGAAACATAATCATAAGCCAAAACATGCATTTGAAAGACTGAAGGATGTACCTTCACAATAAAAATAAAGTAAGTATAAAGTGAAATGTCAGAGATAGCAACTGTCAATCTTCGTACTTAAGGAAATCGGACATTTCATATTTAATAACCCAATACGACAAAACTAAACTTGTAGTTTATAATTTAAAAGCAAGAATAGCGGCAATTCACAACTTCTGCTATCTCAAGGTGGCACTGTTGATGAATGATGAAGCTCCTTTCAGAAAATTGGGAAGTTCCAATATTGCAGCATTATGAAGGATTGCCTCACCACACCACACTTTAGTAACATAAATCTTACTTTGTGAATACCAAATTTTAGAAACCTTTATTTCCTTGCTTATCAGTAGCTTTTACTAGTACACAGCTATTAGTCTACTTAGGAGAATTTCAGGATTTTCGATTGGAAATGCATTCATTTCTGCAGTGATTGAAAACGGTGGGGAGAGAGGGCTCAAGGAAGGCAGTGTAAGGAGAAAACCAGCTTTCCGCTTGTGCATGGTTTTTTTTTGTAGTAACACAGAGTCTGTTTTCCCATGACAAGATGGAAGGTCTTTCATTTTATTGCTATATGTAGGAGGGTTTATTTCCTTTTTATGTGTAAAGATGTACTCAAACTTTTATTAATACTTTGGTTCTTGTGCATAGTCTGTACACTTATGTCTCCTGTCCTTTTACCTCACTGGCCAGCACTTCCCAGTCTCTGGCTGAATACTTGGCATTTTTGACTTGGCATTGTAGGGTGTCCAAGGCTCGGGCCCTTTCTCTGCCTTTGCTCTCTAATGATCTTCCCCTCTCCTCAGTTTGCTGTGGACTCACTGTGTGTATTCCCAGCCTCTCCCCTGAGCCTTGGGCTTTTTTATTTAAGTGCCCTCATTTCCCCTTGGGTATTTAACAGGCATCACAAACTTAACATACCAAAAACCCAACTCTGATTCCCTTCTTCTCCCACTCCAAGTGTTCTTCCCCTGGTCTTTCCCGTATTTGTACATGGCAACTCTATTCATCTTGTTGCTTAAGCCAGAAACTTTTGGCTCCTGACACTTCATTCTCTCATACCCCACTTACAATCAGGAAATCCTTTTGGTTCTGCCAAAAAGCACATCCAGAGTATCTGCCCCTCTAATCCAGCTGGCATCGTCTGCTAAAATCATGATAGTCACCACATTGGTCACTCTGTTGTGGCTCTGGCCTAATATCCCTGTGTCCATTTTTGTCTGTTACTCACAGTGTAGCCAGAGTGATCTTTTCTTGGTTTCCCATCGCTTTCAGAATAAAAATCCAAAGTTTTATAAGGCCTTCTGCCTCCTCTCCAACCTGCCTACTGTTCTTTCTCATCTTCAGCTACTTTGACACTCTTGCTTATTCACTTGCTGTTTAACCTCTGCCTGGATGCCCTTCACCCAGAGAAGCGTCTGACTTGGTGGATGGGTGCATGTGTGTGTGTGTCTACCTGCCTTCCCTCCCTGGGATCCAGGCTCACTGAGAGTCAGGGACTACACCATCCCCAGCAGCTACAACAGTGCTACTGGTGATGACAGGCACTCAGCAAATAGTTCTTGAATGAATGATGTTTTGTTTCAGTAATCTTGTCATAATAATTACGTGGAACTTCATAACCATAGTTACTTCGTTCTAATTGAAGGTCACTGGTTTTATCGCTCACCAGTGTTTCTTTTTTCATCACATCTAAAATGCACTTTTTGATTTTACCTGAATGAAAGTTTTCACACAGCTACATCGTGACTGCCCCCTAGCTGACAGCGATTGAAAGCTCCCTCAATGCAAGATTCATCCCAAGCTCAGAAAGGTTACTACAGTGTGAAAAAATACCTTAGACTTTTTTCTTAGAATTAATGACATAGGTTATATTGGGTATTCCCCACCTTGAAATATTCTGATTCCGTTTTCATCTGGTTTAACTATTTCCTTAATGTGGATAATTTCTAGAAAGGGTACAAGAGTACTATAAAGTGTGGCCGTTGGCTTATACAGACTGTTCTGTAATCTTTCCTCACTTGACTTCTGGCATCCCTGCTTGCATTAGAAAAATATGCTAGTGTGATTCTCTTTGATTACTGCTTCTCTTTCAGCCATCTTTTCTTTCCCCACGGAACTCATGTAATTCAGATAAGATCTGTCTACCCTCCCTGTCACTTAGAGTTTTCTCACATAATTTCCATTTGTCTGTTTTTGCTTTGCCTTTCGGCTGTGGACATAGTGGGTCTTTGCTCAGCTGTGCAAGGCTTAGATTCTGCTGCTTGGTTCTAAACACAGGGTGGCCAGCCAGGAGATTGGAGGATTCCTCATGAGTCAAGGTGGCTGCGGCTCGGAATGCAGAAGACATTTGTTCCACTTCCTTGTCAGGGTTCCAGATGGTTCTTTTATATTCTGTTACTGTTAGTAATTCTTTCCTCTTTTGTCTGTATTTGCTTGAAATCTGTTTCTCTAGAATTCTGAATTAACTTTTCTAGAAGTTATTTGTGTCTGATTTTTTTTTTTCTTCCTCCTCTGGTAGGAGAAAGAAGTTGTGACAAATTGCTTGGATCTTTAAGCTAAGTGGGAATGATGGCTTCAACACAACATCTGTTTCCTTGCTGTTTTATCCATCAATCAAATTGTTAATTTTTTTATGGACTAAAAGTTCTTAGCCCTTCTTAATATTAGCTCTTTGGGCTCTGACAAAAGACTTCCTGTAAATTAATGGAAAAGTTTTGTGTTTTTGGTTCATTCTAGATCTCATTTTTTATGTAGTGTATTTGACTTTTTCATAAGAGGAAGAACTTGCCACAGAGCATTCAGATTATTTTTATAGGCTGTGAATTGTTGCCTACTTTCAGTTTCTTTGGAAAAGATTTAAGGCTTACATGTGCTTGATTTTATATAGTCAGTCAGCTAGTGTTTCTTAGCTAAATAATGGAATTAGGGGAGAATCCATACAACTCAGAGGTTTGTTCCTTTTTGTTTCATGGGACCTTTTTTGAGACTTCTAGGGATTCTGTGCTTGATTGGTTGTTAACTGTTCAAACTTTAGGTGGTCTAGAGTTAATTTTTTTAACTAATATTTAATTCCCTTTTTCTTTGTAGCTTTCACAAAGTTGATCACAGTAAATGGACAAGAATATCATCTTCAGCTTGTAGACACAGCTGGACAAGTAAGTGACCTCTGGTATCTCAGAATCTTGTACAGCATTTCTAACAGTCCTGGCTCAAGCACTGATTTTTAAACACAACAGCTATGCCAAGAAAACCTTTCATGCTGTATACAAATGGATCCTGACTTACACTGGTTTGACTTATGATTTCTTTACAGTGGGTTTATTGGGCTATTAAGTGCATTTTCAACTCATGATATTTTCAGTTTGCAGTGAGTTTATTGGGACGTAACCCCATCATAAGTCAGGAACATCTGTATGTAAGTGAATATTAATATGCTGTCTTTTCTAGAACATTTATGGCAGTTTTTCAAATAAGTTGTTTTTCTACTTTAATATTGTTTTAAGTATATTCTTAACATTGTGAGAGTTAGCATTTATTACAGGATAGGGGTTTTCTATTTTCTAAATTTTAATTCTATATTGAATCATTAGTGCTTTTTCTCCCTTTGTAATATGTGTTCTACATTAAGACCAAAAGTAAATCTTTTCTAGGGGAAGGAATGAGAAGGTCATAGGGCAGAAACAAGCTGATTCAGTCTTGTGAGGACTTGGGCCATGAAACACCAGTTTGGTTAGAGTCCAAGATCCAGTTTGAGTGTTGTCTTTAGTTTTTTGTTTTTTTTTTTTTTTTTGAGACAAGAGTCTCACTCTGTTGCCCTGGCTAGAGTGAGTGCCGTGGCGTCAGCCTAGCTCACTGCAACCTCAAACTCCTGGGCTCAAGTGATCCTACTGCCTCAGCCTCCTTAGTAGCTGGGACTACAGGCATGAGCCACCATGCCCGGCTAATTTTTTCTATATATTTTTAGTTGTCCAATTAATTTCTTTCTATTTTTAGTAGAGACGGGGTCTCGCTCTTGCTCAGGCTGGTCTCGAACTCCTGAGCTCAAACAATCCGCCCGCCTCGGCCTTCCAGAGTGCTAGGATTATAGGCGTGAGCCACCGCGCCCAACTGTCTTTAGTTTTTATATAGTTAGATTATCTGGCAGATGGATGTGAGAGTGATGACTAGATTAGGGGGTGTTGATTTAATTTGCTAGACAGCAGGTGATTGCTGAAGTTTAAGTTCCCCGCCAAAAAAGGATCACGGATTAATTAACGTGGCAGCAATGTGGAATCGATTGCCAGGGGAATTGACTGGAAACAAGGTAGAAAGAAATGAGTACTTGAAAGGAACAAAAACATCCCTTTTGACAGCTTAGCTGCCCCATTACCATGGTACCCAGTCCTGCTTTTACTAGAAACCATTCTGTCAGACTGACTTTATCCCTGAAGGGTGGGAAGCATACAGAAGCTGGGGTTTCTGCTTACTCTTCCTGCCTTTGCATCTTATAACGGACAAGAATCAGACCATCGTGAAGGTGGGTGTGGCATGATCTGGTCTGCGTTGTTAAATGGAGGCCTTTTTTCTGGAACTTGGGAGAGTTGGAGTAGACCTAGATAACGTGACCTATCCTCTGGGTTTGGAATGAATTCCCTATGCTTTATGTTTTGAAGTTAATGTAGAAAGAAAGTGTGACCCTCTAGTGAAGGAAAAAAATAGCTGTATTGAGTGGTGTTAGCACTGGAAAAAACCCTAGAGTTTATATTTTGAAAGCTTCGTAGAGAATAAAACAAATGTGTTTGTTTCTTTGAGCTTGTACATGGAGCTAGAACATATGCCTCCTTCATTTACCCTACATACTCCACCTGATGGTCGGTGTGATGCACTTTAGCAATCAGACATCTTGATGGTTTTATTAGAGCGCAGCCATCCTGGGCTCTTGTTGGGACCAGGGGGACAATAGAAGTCTGTCAGGGAGCCATGGCACAGATGGCAAGGCTCATCTTAGGTTAGTGAAGAAGAATTGCAGGTCGGAAGCTGTTGGATTCTTAGGGCTTATATCTCCCTTTCATAGTTAAGGTGGCTATATGATTTATTGTCTAAATGAAGGCATTTTGGCGAGGGGGGGGTGCTAGTGATAATTATGCTGGGACAACAGGTGTAAACTTAAAGAGTGTTCTCAGCAAAGAAACATAACCATTCCATTTATAGTGGGACCCTGACACTATCAAGATTGCATTTTGCTTTTATTTGGAATCCTCAAACTCCTAAAAAATGGGGTGAGAGTGTAAGTTGAACAATCACTTCCATGTAATGTTACTATAGAAACACATCCTGTATCAGGCCAGCAGGGGAACTGGTAGTTCGTAGTTGTCTGGAGTCAGGCTTGCCTGGGTTTGAGGCCTGGCTTTTCTTCCTAATAACCAAGTGACCTTGAGAAAGTGAGTGACCTTTCTGAGCCTCAGTGCCTCTACAGAATGGTGGTAACTGTGGTATCCACCTTCATAGGATCATTAACTTTGAGGTTGAAGAGGATGTGCTCGCTCTTTGTAGAGCTTTGATGCTGCTGAGACTAGAGCAATGCTTAGCATATTAAATTAACCCTGTTGACGTTAACAGTCTTGAGTGGTTAACAGTCTTGAATGGTGGAAGTACAGGTGTTCTTAATACTTGGAGAGCAGTCTTTAAACATTTCTCTAGAGAGAAAATTTCTTTATATTGACTCTCCTTATCAAATTAGAAGATGTGTTCCTCAGAGGTACTGTTTTGCTCTGAAGCATAAATGTGCACTTGGACATCAAACATTTTTAAATGTTTTAATGATACAGTAACACAAATAGTGAAACCAAAAGGAGTAAGTAATATGATGAGCATTGTCATATGACTGGCTTTGTTGTCTTGCTCCTTTGGGTTCTGTAACTACTAGATAAGAGTATTTGGAGAATTTTTGCACAAAATATGTCCAGATTTAGCTAGTTTGAATAATTTGTTCTCATTGCAGCTAATAGTTCTCGAAGGTTATATTCACAGTTGAGAGACAATAAAATAAGAGTTTATGCTAGTATTTATAATTCATGATGGTGAAACACAGGCATCTCCTCCTTCTGTTTCAGATTATTATGGGACAAATTCTTCTAAAAGTAATCTGTAGTAAATTTGTTCCCTAGCTTTTACACATTTTAGGAGTAAAATTACACATAATAAATTGCTGCATAGCAATATATGATGGCAAGTACTATTTACTACTTAGTATTAATCGTTTATATCAGCGCATGTGTACCACGATGGTATAATTGCCCAGCCAGGGATGATGATGAACATATTTAAATACAAATTGATTCTTTTTAGATTGCATGAAATATTTTGTTTTGGCCTAATTTTGAGGTGAGTGCTTATACCTAAATGAATCTGGGGGTAAGAATGTGAGGCATCAGGGTGCAGTGGCTCATACCTATACTCCCGGCTGCTTGGAAGGCTGAGGTGGGAGGATCTCTTGAGGCCAGGAGTTTGAAACCAACCTGGGCCACATAGCGAGACCCCATCCCTAAACAACAAAAAAACAGAATGTGAGGTAGCAAAACAATGTAGCCTGTTCTATATTAGTAATTAAACTCAGTGACAAGTGAGTCAGTGACAATTTTATAATGTAACCAAATTCACCTTCTAAAAAAGCTAAATTAAAAAAAATAGAAATGCACTGGTACAAAAAAAAGTAGCACAAAAAGGTAAGTAGTAAAACTTAACATCTTTCCCACCTAGCTGTCTTAGCAGCCCCACTTACCAGTTTCTAGGATATACTTCTAAGATATTTTATACTTGTATATGCAAATATAGTTTGAAGTTACTTCTTCCTTTTTACACAAAAAATAGTACGTCTTCATCTTGGAGATTATTCCATGTCCATACCTAATGGAATATGTTGGGGCATCTGTTCCTCCATGGCTACATAATATCCAGTTGTTCGGATATGTTATAAGCTAACTCCTGATCAACAGTTAGGTTGTTGCCAGTCCTGCCACCACCAGCAGTGCTGCAGTGAACATCCCAGGTATTGTTTTAGACACACAGTGATGTGTATATAAGGAAACTTCCTGGGCATGGGCTGGCATAGGGTTGCATTGCGTGTTCTTGCCAGCAGTGAATGAGAGTGCCTGTGTCCGTGCACCCTTACCACACAGTATGTTACCAAGTCCTTTGACATTTGCCAGTCTGATAGGTATAAAATAGCACCCCAGTATAATTTTAATATGCATTTTTCTTCTTACGAGGGGCTTTGATTTTTCATAAGTTGAAGGATATTTGTATTTTCTTCCTGTGAATTATGCTGTCTGCCATGTACTGTGCTGTTTTTTTCCCTTTGGGTGGTTAGTCTTTGTTGATTTGAGAGACCCCTTGGTATATGAGGAAAATTAGCATTTTATATATGATTTGAAATGCAAGCTTTTGTTTTCAGTTTGTCTTTTGTTTATGGTTTTTCTTTGAGAAGGTTTCAACCATGAAGAGCTTTTTCATTTTCATGTAGTGGAATTTATTAATCTTTTAATGGATTTTTTTTTTTTAAATTCTCCCATCTACTGTATGCATAGTTTTCATCTTTAAATCTTTGCTTCTTCTGGAATACATGTTTGCCAAGATGTGAATTAGAGGTCCAGTTTAGCCATCCACCCCCAGGTGTCTCCGTGCTTGTCCCTATGCATTTGGTTGAGGGTTACTTTTTATCCTTAGTGGTTGAAATGCCAGTATTATCATGTACTCCATTCTCTTATCTATTTGAGTCTTTCTGGATTTTCTAGTTTGTTCCATTCATGAGCCGGTACAGCATTATTTTAATTACTGTAGCTTTATGGTTTCCAGTCACCTGCCCTGACAATTACTATTCCTTCTCAGAAAGTATAGTTTCTTTTTTTATCACAATCATATTGTGTTTATATGTTAATTTAGTATTAATCAATGGATATCCTGATGATTTTGCATATTTAAGTCTTTTGTCTGTTGGGAGTATTTTAAGATTTTCTTCATATGATCATATACTTTTATTTGTTACATTTATTTTTAGGAATTTTATCCCCTTTTTTGGTTGCTGTTGCAGCTGTGGGTCTTCCCCCTCCATTATACCTTCTAACTGATTGTTTTTTAATGCTTCTTAAACACGATTACTCTGATTGCCACATTTTTCCTTTAACCAAAAGATAATTTGATCTTTGGACTTAGTGTAGCTGAGCTAGTGACTAAAATCACTTAGGACTTTGTTTTTAATCGTATTTACTGTATCAGAGAAGCAATAGTAAAACTTAATTTTTCTTTGTTTTTGTTGTTTTTATTAAAGAACCATAGGGCAGTAATTGTGGGCTATCACAAACAGTTGTTATAAATCATACTCTGGTTTGCAAGGTTAACAGACTGCTGCTTAATCTAATGGTGGCATGACATGATTTTTTTTCTTTAATAGTGCTTGGGACATGTGGTATGTTGACAGTTACATTTCAGCTAAGAATAAAATGTTTGTAGATTAGGTGCAGTGGCTCACGTCTACAACCCTAGCGCTTTGAGAGGCTAAGGTGGGAAGATCTCTTGAGGCCAGGAGTTAAAGACCAGTATGGCGGCATGGCCCATAGTCCCAGCTACTTGGGAGGCTGAGGTGGGAGGATCGCTTGAGCCCAGGAGTTTAAGGTTGCAATGAGTTTTGATGATGCCACTGCACTCTAGCCCAGGCAATAGAGTGAAACCCTGTCTCCAAAAAAAAAAGTTTATACCAGTGACACATGCTGATGAAAACTGCATTGACATAAGAACTTTTTGTATGCTTTAATAATTTGTATATCTAAAGCAAAGTTTCATATATCTGCTTTATAAAGCTAGGGACTGATACACTGTTGTATAATGTGTACCTTTGTTTTTAATTACTCTAAAATTGCTCAGTACATAACTTTTTTAGTCCCCCAAAGTCTGAGTATACCGATTGAGTCTAGTGCTTTGATTCTCTTCTCTCCTCTCCTCTCTCAGATGCTTGTGGCAGCCCTCTAACAACCTGTAGATTGATGCTCACACCAATGGGACTGACATGCAAAGAACAGATTACATAATAATGTGACAATTTCAAATATGAAATCAGAGATTTATGGAATAAGCTAGTAGGATTTGTAAATTTCCTGTGAGGTCTAAGAGATTCTAGATTTCAGCTGTAGAAGAAATGTGGTAGTGCTTGTCCCTTGATTAGAGATCACAGAACCAATCATCTGCATTCCTTCTAACCTCTTCTTCCGAGAATTATAGAAGTTATCAGCCTTCCCCCTAAAGCCCTAGAACAGCCAGGGTCATTTTTGAATATTACTTGAAGCACATTATCACCTGCAGACCATTCTTAAATCTTCTGTGTATAGACCATGTTTATGGAATAATATTGTAATCCACTTTGTTTTCTTTGATTTACTTTGATTTTCTTCAGGTAGTACATGAAAAACTTGGGTAAAGATTGTTGCTATGTTATATGAAGACTTAAATGTAATTTTTTCCCCCACAGGATGAATATTCCATCTTTCCTCAGACATACTCCATAGATATTAACGGTTACATACTTGTGTATTCTGTTACATCAATCAAAAGGTAAGACTCCTGTTGCTTGCTCTAGTTTATTTGCCACATGTAAATAGCATTAATCCTTTTAAAGGACTATGCTGGGATTCATAATAGTAGTACCAGTAACAATTAGATTTAATGATTAGGCTAAACATTTTTTAGTGATTTTTGTTGTGGAGCAATCAGGTTGTTAAGGGAAAAAACATGTGTGCCAGTAGATGTTCTGTTACACTGATAGAACAAAAGCTTTATTTCTTACCTCAAGCTGCCTAGATACATAGGGGTTAAACATGATTTGAGTTTTTCTGCTAATTGAAATGGGAAATGCATAAATTGATTTTACTTTGTGTGTGTTCACCATATTAATGTGAAGTAGACTTTCTAATACAATTTGGAGATTTCAGTTTGTTGAATATTTTATCCTGAGAATTTATGAAATAAGACCTTTCAGTAATAGGGTCTTACTTTGCTACATAAAAATGGGGCCACTATTTTTATTAGTAAGAATGGATTTTGCTTCCTTTAGCCACACATTTCATATGTCATCTCTTATCAGGCGTTATCAGGGATATTGTCACAAGGAGGAGTGGGCTGTGTCCGTGAACAGAACAGAACAGCTGGCTGCATGTAGCAGAGAGCTCTGGATACTAGTAACAGCTTGTCTTTGAAGACTGTGAAAATCTCAGTGCCAGTGGAGGAGGGGTGGTGGGTGGCTGGCGTCTATTGATTGTGTGGGACATGTCAGGGAGTTTGCTGTACTCTTGCCTGCATACAATACATCACTTCATTTTATCATAACCGTAAACAGTCCTTCACCAGAGATGTTTTATTTCCCAGTTTACATAGAAACCGAGTAACAAAGATGTAAAGTAACTTGCCCGAGGTTCATAAACAGTATATGACAGTGCTGGGGTTCAGATCCACCTCTGTAGTTCCACAGTCAAGGTCAGCACTATCCAACAGAACTTACTGCAGTGGTGGAAATGTTCTATATCTCTGCTGCAGGTGGCTATTTAAATTAATTTAGATTAAACAAAATATAAACATTCAGTTCCACTAGCCACATTTCAGGTGCTCAAGAGCCACTTGTAGCAGGTGGCCACCATATTGGACAGTGTCTAGGCTCCTTACCACCATGTATTCTATTGCTAATGAAAATTCAGTAAGCTTCTCTATGAGTGTGTTATTTAACATTTTTCTCCACGGTAGGGAAGCATACTTTACATAAAGTGTTTTAAGACTGTGGCCATTCTTATAAACAGACTCCATACTGCCAGTCCCTGAGAAAGCTCACACCTGAATCAAAACTGAGTACCAGGCCAGGCGCGGTGGCTCACGCCTGTAATCCTAGCACTCTGGAAGGCCGAGGTGGGTGGATCGCTCAAGGTCAGGAGTTGGAGACCAGCCTGAGCAAGAGTGAGACCCCATCTCTATTAAAAATAGAAAGAAATTATTTGGACAACTAAAAATCTATATAGAAAAAATTAGCCGGGCATGGTGGCGCATGCCTGTAGTCCCACCTACTTGGGGAGGCTGAGGCAGGAGGATCGCTTGAGCCCAGGAGTTTGAGGTTGCTGTGAGCTAGGCTGACGCCACGGCACTCTACTCTGGGCAACAGAGTGAGACTCTGTCTCAAAAAACAAACAAACAAAAAAAAAAACTGAGTACCAGAACCATGTGTTCCTGAAAGAAAATTGGGGAAATGCTAAAAGTAGAAAGTAGGTGTGGAGGGGGTATGAATCACTCTCAGTATAATTACCCAAGCATAGATATTGTTAATGTTTTGGTATATTTCTTTGTTTTGGTGATTGCTTTAATGTACTTATCTTTCCCCTCTGAGTACAGTTTTATATATTTTTTTACGTTTTTATATTTTTACTTACCAGGTAATATACATTTTTCCATATTACCTACTGTTTGAAAATGGTAGATGGCTATATAATATCCCGTGTTCAATGATAGAAGGGTACCTCTCTACCTGTTTCTCATGTTTATATTTTTGTCACTAAAAAGAATGCTTGGATTAGATTTTATGCATAAAACCATTGTCTGCATTATTATTTTGGGACTTAGTTTTTTTATTGACTTACAAGCACACTTTATATATTTACTTTTTTTATTTCAAAGTTTTTACAGGGATACAAATGTTTTTGGTTACATGGATCACTTTTATAATGCTTGAGTCATGGTTATAAGTGTGCTCATCACCCAGATAGTGTTCACTGTACCTGTTAGGTAGGTTTTCACCTGTCTCTACTCACCCCCCCCCTTGATTTCCATTGAGTTTTACTTCCCTCTATGCACATGTGTGCACATTGATTAGTTCCAATTTAATAGTGAGAGCATGTGGTGTTTGTTTTCCATTGTTTAGATACTTTCCTTAGGATAATGGTCTCCAGTTCCATCCAAATTGTTTCAAAAGGCCTTAAGTTATCCTTCGTGGCTGAGTAGTATTCCATGGTATACATTTGCCACATTTTGTTAATCCACCCATGAATTAATGGGCACTTGGATTGATCCCACATCTTTGCAATTGTGAATTGTGCTGCAATAAACATTCGAAGGGCATTCCTCTAACCCTCAGTTGGGTGTGAGGCAAAGACATAAAGTGTAACCATAATATTTATACCCCCATAATACACTGAAATTAAAAAAAAAAAAAAACATTCGAGTGCAGGTGTCTTTTTGATGAAATGACTTCTTTTCCTTTGGGTAAATACCCAGTGGTGGGATTGCTGGATCAAATGGTAGGTCTGCTTTTAGTTCTTTGAGGTATCTCCATACTGTTTTCCATAGAAGTTATACTACTTTGCATTCCCACCAACAGTGCATAAACATTCCTTTCTCTCTGTATCCATGCCAGCATATATTATTTTTGGAATTTTTAATAAAAACCATTCTAACTGGGGTAAGGTGATACCTCATTGTGGTTTTAATTTGCATTTCCCTGATGATTAGTGATGTTGAGCATTTTTTCATATGTTGATTGGCCATTTTGTCTATCTTCTTTTGAAAGCTTCCGTTTATGTCTTTTGCCTTCTTTTTGTGGGGTTGTTTGATTTTTTTCTCACTGAGTTGCTTGAGTTCTTTGTAGATTCTGGTTATTAGCCATTTATCAGATGTATAGCTTGCAAGTATTTTCTCTCATTCTGTAGGTTGTTGCTTATTTCTTTGGCTGTGCAGAAGCTTTTTCATTTAATCAAGTCCCATTTATTTATTTTTGTTATTGCTGTGATTGCCATTAGGGGGTCTTTGTCATAAATTTTTTGCCTAGGCCAATATCTCAAAGAGTTTTTCCAACATTTTCTTCTGGTATTACGGTTTCATGCCTTACATTTAAGTCATTTATCAATCTTGAATTAATTTTTGTGAGTGGTGAGAGATATGGATCCTCTTTCATTCTCCTATATGTGGCTATCCAATTTTTCCACCACCATTTATTGAATAGGGGTTCTTTTCCCCAGTATATATTGTTGTCTGCTTTGTCAAAGATCAGTTGTTTGTATGTGGTTGGTTATATATCTGGATTTTCTGTTCTGTTCCATTGGTCTATGTCTCTATTTATCAATTCCAGCAGTCTCTTAGAGACTTTGGGGTTTTCTAGATGTAAGATCTTATCATCAGCAAAAGGCAATAGTTCTACCTCCTCTTTCCCAATTTGGATACCCTTAATTTCTTTCTCTTGCCTGATTGCTCTGGCTAGGACTTCTAGCACTTCATTGAATAGAAGTGGTAGCAATGGGCATCCTTGTCTTGTTCCAGTTGTTAGTGGGAATGTTTTCAGCTTTTCCCCATTCAGTATGATGTTGGCTGTGGGTTTGTCAAACATGGCTTTTATAATTTTTAGTTATGTTCCTTCTATGCCTAGTTTATTGTTAAGGGTTTTTATCATAAAAGAATGCTAAATTCTCTTGAATTCTTTTTCTGCATCTATTGAGATGATCATATCTTTGTTTTTGCTTCTGTTTATGTGGTGAATCACATTTACAAACACTTTAAAAACTATTAGTCCTTTTTGTACAAAGATTATATATTTTTAAAATTTACTTATTTTATATACATAACTTGTATTTAGCTCTCATTTGCTCAGTAAATTCCAAGATTTTCAGTTTGAGTACCTGCCATGTAATGCCTTGACCAGAATAAATTTAATATACCAGTAATCCGATGAATGTTGCAAGGTCAGATTTATGAACTTCCATTATTTCACTAATTTACTTAAAAACACTACTCAAAGATTATTCTGTTATTTGTAAGTGTAATTTTATTCTACATGATTTTTTAGAAAATAATATTGGTTACTTTATAAATTATTACTCTGGGGAATTAAAATTATGGGTAGGAAATTTTCTTAATGAATTCATTCTTTTTATTAATCTCCCTTTTTTGGTGGGCACAGATTAGATGACATTCAAGAATCAAGTTGAAAACAGCATTTGTCACTGGGGAAATTAAAAAAATACAAAAAGCTAGAGTTGAAAATATAAAAACTTGCTCACTAAGGATCTTATATATTTGAGAAAACGATGGCTTGATGCAGTGCAGAGGACAAAAAGCTTGCTGTGTCATCTTAGCAGTTCCTTTGCAAGTTTTGACCATGTTACTCCTTACTAAAATGGGTGTGCTTTGTTTTAAATAATGCTTTTTTATCTTAGTATCTCATAGTTGAATTGACCATTCTCATAAATCTCAAACATGATCAGGAGGAGTAGTGTTTTCTTTTTCTTTTTCTTTTTCTTTTTTTTAGAGGTGAGATCTCGCTCTTGCCCAGGCTGGAGTACAGTAGCATCATCATAGCTCACTGCAACCTCAAACTACTGGGTTCAAGCGATCTTCCTGCCTCCCAAGTAGCTGAGACTACAGGCGCATGCCACCACGCCTGGATTGTTTTGTTTTTTAAAAACCTATATGCTGAATACGCAAGTATTTATGAATATCTAAAGAAATATGCTAGTAAACCTTTCTAAATAAACCAATTTGTCGATCAGAACTGTCTAATCTTTCTATTGAATTTATTATAGCTTCTACCTAAGTTATAGCCAATGTTCATCATTTTGTGAAATAAAACAGAAGGCCCAGGATTTTCCTTTGTTTCATAAAGCCCCTGTAGAATTATTCCTTCTGACTAAACATAAAGGAAAAACACATCCTATTTCATAGTTTCTAAGGATGGAAAAAGAACCCAGATTTTGGTTTTCATGTGTCTCCACTAACAATTTTGGCCAAGTCACGTCACTTTGCAAAGTCTTGGTTTGTTGGCTATAAATCGAATTTTTTGTAGAGGAGAAGACCTCGCTTATCTGAGGCAGTCAGGATAGTTACTTAAAAACATTGGTTAATGGAAAGAATTAAGAAGGTGATATGAATCTCCAGGGTTTTATTTTAAAGCATAAATATACATTCAGTCACTAATCTTCTGAAATCTTCAAATTACCGTCTTTGGATATGAGTTTACCCATCTAGTATTGCCTATATCCATAGTGCATCAGCTGTGATTTTCAGTTCAGTTTCTTCAGACTGAGATACTTGTGAAACAGTCTACACCTCAGCTATTTACAGATTCGTGTGATTTTTCCCACCAGTCTTTTTCAGTTGTTTCAGTACAGCATATTAAGGAACACTGTTTTTAGTAGATCAAGCCACAGTATTCAACTTTTAGTTTTCAGAGAAATAAAAACTCTGCATATACTCGTATTTTGAAAGTTTATAAGATAAATTATGACTTTCTGTTGAATTTAACTGGCATAAACAGGTTTGGGAACAAATGGATCCGACACTCTCTGTACATGCACGTTTTAGCTAGCGGGAGCTGTCGTGCTCTGCTATGCTCACACTATGTAAGACAGTGTTTCTTGGACTTTTTTTTTTTTTTTTTTTTTTTGAGACAGAGTGTCACTCTTTTGCCCGGGCTAGCGTGAGTATATAGTAAACGTGTATAACTGATGTGTAATGCACTATCTATTTCTTTTTTAAAATGCTACTTTTTAAAAACCCACTAAATTAATAACATTTTCTAATACCAATAATCCGAGGACTGCTGGCTTCAACCATTCGATCTCTTGTTAGTCTGGCAAGTCATTTAAGTAGAGTCAACTGAGAGATTCTAATGTTCCTGTTACACTTTCATCATAGTTCTGTTGTGAGGATAAAACGAATACATAGAACTTCAGTAGAATGAACCCTTTGAGTTCTTCCAGGCTTGCTTTGCATACTTTATTTAGTCCATTCTAAGATAGCTCTTTGCTGTTTCAGAGAAACTGTTCTTTGTTAAATAAAATCTAAATTTTCCCTCCTATAATATTCACCCATTGGTCCTAATGTTGGTCTATTGAACCAATGCTTTTTTGTTTTCACATCCCTAAAATGAAAATATTTGAACACAGCAATAGAGATTATTTGCTTTTAAGTGAAAATCTGTATTAGCTATCTATTGTTGCATAACAAATTGTCCCAAAATTTAGCAGCTTAAAACAGTACGCATTTACGATCCCATGGTTTCTGTGGGCCAAGACTCGGGCGTGGCTCAGCTGGTTTTCTGCTTCAAAGTCTTCCAGAGGCTGTAGTCAAGGTGTCGGCTAGAGCTGTGGTGTCATCTAAAGGCTTGGCTGGGGGAGGATGTTTCCAGACTAGTTCATGGGGCTGTTGCCAGGATTAATTCCCTAAGAATTGTTGGGCTGGGATTCTCAGTTCCCCGCTGGTAATCGGCCAGAGGCCACCTCAATTCTTTACCAGGTGGTCTCCATCAGGGCAAGCACACAAGAAAAGTCAGAATTTCCAGCAAAATGTATGTCACGGTCTTTTATAACCTAACCCCAGAAGTGACATCTTTTCATTTTTGCCATATTCTGTTCATTAGAAGCAAGTCATTAGGTCTGGCTCTTGCTCAGGGAGATTAACAAGGTATGGCTACCAGGAGGGTGGGGAGCCCTGGAGCTGGGTCCAAGCTGCCTACAACACAGTCCCAGTTCTTTAGCTATTTCTCACGTGACTGGTTACCATATCCCTTCCCAAGAGGCCACGTGATTTTAAATGTAGAATGTAGTTAGGCACAGCACATGGTAAGGGAACTGGTTCTGTAATGCAGCCTAAGGTACTCAGGACATCCACATCCTGTGGTTGACACACTGTGAGTTGGGGGGGGGAGTGTTAATTTTCGTTTTTATCAAAGTAACTATATATATAGTTTAAAATAGCACAATGTGTAATTCATTCAGCAAGCTTACTTGTTCTAAAGCTTGAGCTACAACAGTGAACAGAGCAGACAAATCCCTGTCTTTGTGGAGCTTATTTCTGGTGTGAGAGACAAACAATGAGAAGACAAATGTGTGAAATAGTGACAGTGCTAACAAGAAAAATAAGGCAAGGAAGGAGATAAGAAATAGGAGTTGTGTCAATTTGATGAGGTGAACAAAAGAGGTCTGTGAAGTGACATATACGTAGAGACTTGAAAAGAAGGAAGGGATCATGTTTCAAGATCTTTAGGGAAAGAACATTCCACGCACAAGGAAGGCAGCTGCTGCAGTGTTAGAGCAACAGCAGAGGCCAGTGCAGCCGTGGGCAGAAGGACGAAGGGAGTAGCAGGAAGTGCAGTAGGCTGGGGAGTCCTGGGGTGCAGTAGAGATGGGTGCCCAGCAGAAAGTGCTGAAAAGGCTCCATCCGGCTGCTGGGACAGATTTCTGTGGTTGCCTTGCTGGGCAGGGACTAGAGGGGAAGGGGGACTATTGTGGAGATGCAGGCAGATGGGGGGAGGCTCAGGCCTGGGTGGCAGCAATGGAGTGGGGTGAGAGGTGGTCAGATTCTGGATAGGCTTTGAAGGTAGAGGCAGTGGTACGCTGGCAAATGTTTACAAAGGGCTTTGGGGGTGAAGGTGGGAATGGTTCGTGGTAAGTGGTATAAATTCTACTGTGGCAGATTTCATGACATCATCGTGGCATCGTTGTAGTGCAGACTTGGGTCTAAGATGCCCTTGCTGGTGAAAGCCAACTCCAACCTAGAGACATCGGCATATTGATCGGAGTGAAAGCCTAGAGAGACTGGCTTCCCCCAGAGAATGCATATGCCTAGCCAAGAAAAGCGGAACAAGGCTGAGTACTGGGGTGCTCCAGCTAAGAAGAGTTCTACAGATTTCAATTTAAATAGTTTGTTCTTTGCTGGATGAGTTGAGAGATTAAAATTTGTGTTTATGTTTGTCGGCCCAGTATTAGACTTTCCCATTTGAATGTCTCACCTATTTCACTTTGAATAGTCTCAGTAAGAATTACTGAGCGTCAAATATATGTACATGTAAGAGATTGATAAAAAAAAAAAATACAAGAGTTCTTTGTGTTCAGTTTATGTTAAAATGGTGAGTCATGACATTTTATATTTTTCCTGCTATAATCATAAAAACTTCAATATTAAGGCCAGGCACAGTGGCTCATGCCTGTAATGCCAGCATTTTGGGAGGCCAAGTGGAAGGATTGCTTGAGGCTAGGAGTTCAAGACCAGCCTGGGTAACATAGCAAAACCCCATCTCTACAAAAATATTAACAATAAATAAAACTGTAACATTAAAATGGATATCTAATTTCATACTTCTTGTTTTATAGTTTTGAAGTAATTAAAGTTATCCACGGCAAATTGTTGGATATGGTGGGGAAAGTACAGTAAGTAGTAGTATTTTTATCTCTTATTAAACTCATTATAATAGTATCTTCTGAACAATAAAACTGGCACTAACTAGTTTATTTTGAATTTTTTTCCTTATAAATAGAATACCTATTATGTTGGTCGGGAATAAGAAAGACCTGCATATGGAAAGGTATGTAGCTTTTAAATGATTACTGATTTGTAAAATCAAGTCTAAGGTGATTTAGTCATTGAAGTGCCATTTTAAATTACTACTCTGATGCCAGGAATATTTTGATGATAGCATTTCTGTCCAGAAATGTTAACAGTTGTGCACAGCAGAAGCAAAACTGCAGTATAAATCTCCCATTCCTCCAGAGAGAGCAGACTTATAGGAAGTTATCTTTAGGCTGTCTACCGTTTTGCATAAAGGAAACTCTAAAAAGATAAAGGTAGCGCTCATTTATTCAGCAAATACTCTTTTGAGTCCTGGGGCTGGGATGACAGTGATGAACAAGAGGCAAGAACCCTGTGCCTGTGGAGTTCAGTGTCAGTGAAAGAGACTCTCGCAGCCTGCACACAACAGAATCGAACTGTGAGCCCTTTCAGTTTCCCCTGGCCTTGGGTGCTTGAAACCTAGCTGTAGAATAGTCAGCTGTTACAGATATTGGAGTAGTGGAAAGTACAGTCATGTTCTCTGAGCTGGAAGAGTTTGCTGGAGCATGGATAACCCCACAAGGCAATGTCTATTCTGTTCCCCAACTCGGGTGTAATTAAAATGTTCCCGTGTTACATTCTTGATGATAATGTTCAGCCAGAGCATGGTTCTGCTTCACAAGGAAAAATTGATCAAAGTGGAGCCTGTTTCATAAGTCAGTTATAGATGTTTTATATAATAAAGAGCAAATATTTTAATTAGAGTTTTCTTTGTCCTTTAGGGTGATCAGTTATGAAGAAGGGAAAGCTTTGGCAGAATCTTGGAATGCAGCTTTTTTGGAATCTTCTGCTAAAGAAAATCAGGTACGTGTTTTCTAAAACCCATTTCACGTTGTCTTCCCATCAGTCACAGGTGTTACGTTCCTCTTAGGCAGCACTGACCTCTCTCTTTATCACTCCTGTTTAATTTTTAGCCTTCCACCATTTCTTTTTTTTTTTTTTTTTTTTTTTTTTTGAGACAGAGTCTCACTTTGTTACCCGGGCTAGAGTGCCGTGGCGTCAGCCTAGCTCACAGCAACCTCAAACTCCTGGGCTCAAGCGATCCTTCTGCCTCAGCCTCCCAGTAACTGGGACTACAGACATGCGCCACCATGCCCGGCTAATTTTTTCTATATATTTTTAGTTGGCAGATTAATTTCTTTCTAATTTTAGTAGAGGCGGGGTCTCGCTCTTGCTCAGGCTGGTCTCGAACTCCTGAGCTCAAACAATCCGCCCACCTGGGCCTCCCAGAGTGCTAGGGTTACAGGCGTGAGCCACCGCGCCCGGCCGCCTTCCACCATTTCTGATACCAAGTGCTGGGTTGCTTTAGGAAGATACTATTTATGTTTTTATAAATTCTGTCAGTATTCTATTTACAACAGGACCTAGGATATTTGTAGGTTAAAGAGAAGTTAATAGTAAAGGGACTACTGCCTTTTGTGGACGTACTATTTTTGTTTTGTATTAACAGCTGGTACAGAAATAAGTCCAGACATAGAAAAGAAGCAAGAATTATCTTAAATCACTTTGGCACTAATTTTGTAGCTGTACCCCACCCCCTTTCTGTAGGATGAAAGTGAGTCAGATGTATATGTTAGTTTTAACAGAAATGATTAAGAACCATTTTACCAGCATTTATTGCCAGTTTCAGCCCTACAGATGTTTCTTAAAGGCATGTCCTAGGAAGGATATTAATTCTGTTCCAGAAGGTTTCACATGACTGATTTTTCCTCTTTCTTTCATTGTTTTAGTTTAGACCTGTGTTCTTTTACCCAGACTTGGGGCATCTCCCACCTCCTACCTCCACTATTTCTTGCCAGTTTATTTCTCTTTGTTCCTCTTAACTTTCTAAACCTACACATCAGATGGTGTCATCCTCTACTCAGAAACTGTCAGTGGACTGTCCATTATTATAGAACAGGGCTCAGAGCCCTTTGTGTAATACTAGGGCAGTGCATGATGCGTTCTTTTCTAGTTTCTTCTCTCACCACATCCCTGTACTTGTCAATCACACCAAACTACTCCCACTCCCATACAGTGGGCAGTTGAAAATGCCTCACCTTTGCTCATTTCTTTACTTATCTACTTACATTCATATGGGGGTTTATAGCTTTGAAAGAGTGTTCAACATGTGAGCTTGTTTGAGCCTCATGTAAGATTAATAGGTTTTCATTTCTCTGAGGAAACTCCAGCGTGGTGAGGGGTGTGGCTCCTCAGTAAGGCTGGGAGCCGCCCGTTGCTGGCATCTCCCGTGACCTGCTCAGCCCTTTGCCCATTGTGGGAAGGCCCTGGTCCTTAAGGCCATGCTTAGGTTTCCCCTTCTCACTGACCCCTTCTTGATTCATCCAGCAGGAAGGAATAGTAGTTTCTTCTCTCTTGTTCTCCTTAATTCTGAGATCTGAGACAGTATCATTTACTTTTATATTCTCCATAAGGTTCAGCACAGTTTCTGTATATCTAGCAGGTATCTCTCAACCCAGGTATCCTTGATAATCAGATCTGTTTCTTCCTGCGTTCTGATATGGAGTGGTGTTAAATCTGTGATTGGTTCCCAAATTCCAGACAGCAGAGGATTTATCTGAATCAGTTCAGTTCCCAAGTATACATAGTGAGAATTCAGGTAAGAGTTGAGATAGTAAGAGACAACTGGGTTTTTTGTTTTGTTTTGTTTTTTTAATTAAATCATTCATTGGATGTTCATTCTGTCTTTGGGATCATCTAATCAAACCATCTCATTTTTGAAGTAAGGAAATTAAGATCCAAAGAGGTTAAATGACTTTTCTAAGATCACTCTAAACTTATGTGGTATAAGAACTGGGACTAAATTTTAAATCTAATACAAATCTGGCCCTTTTTCCTCTATACAACGTTCTCTGATCAGGTGACTGGGATCAGACAAGAGGGCTGGGCCTGGGTGGCATTAGGTTAGCCAGGAGTGCAGACACCTCATTCACACCAGTGGACAGAAGGTAGCAGAGCATGGCAGCCAGGGTTCGAGTGGGTGGGTCAGTTTGGTGCACAGAGTATGTGGTGGTCTCTTACGAATGTGGCTTCGGTTTGCCAGTGATGTGTAAGGTGGGGTTTTTTCAGCTCAGTGTGAATATAGGGGGAAATTGGAGGAGGAAGGAAAAGGCGTGAAGCCGTTCTCTGGAAAGTGATGAGATGAGGGGATACAGTTGGCTTGCTGAGCAGCACCAAGGGTCCACGCTAGGTTCCTGGTCATGGTTGTAAAGGGGGTGGTTGGCGGCGTTGGCTGTGGCTGCATGCACTGTGCAGGTGACAGTTGGTAGAGAAGGGAGTCGAAGTGCAGGGACACGGTGGAGCATGGGGTCTAAGCTGGCTGAGGAGGAGAGTGAGAACAAGGAGTGGTCAAGGGACAGGGAAGATGGTCAACAAGTCAGGTCCCCTGATGCATGCAGGATATCTAGAGGTAGTGAGCTGGGAGGTGGTGTTTTGGGATGCTTGAAATTGTGGGGTGATGGAGGGAGGGGCACCTGTTGGTAATAAAGTCTAGGCACTGCCCGAGAGATTTTCTCCCTGATTACAATGACTGCATTAAAAGCATAGGGACTGACAGTTCTCATCCTCTTGCAGCGTAAGAAAGGATTTCCTGCCCAAAGTGACAGTGACTCCTCCTCGTTGTGGAGGACTAGTAGGGTTCGGCCCTGGGACTGTGAGTGGGTAAGGTGAGACAGACAGACGGTCATCAGAGAGGAGAGGCCGGGGTGTTGGGAGGGTGGTTTGTGGATGGTGTAGGGACAGCTAGCTCAGGGTGACTCCCCTACTCCAGGCCCTGTGGTGCCAAGGATGCAGGAGAGGGAAGGGCCTACTGGGGAAGCTGCTTCTCAAGGAAAATTGGAACTGGACATGAAGAGGGACCCTTGAAAACCGCAGGGCACCAGGGAGGGCCTTGGTGGGCTGGGACAGGAGGTGGTGGGGAGAGTCCAGGAATGAGGACTCCTTGGGCTTTTCATGGTGACCAGTGAAAACAGGGTCAGAGGTAGAATATGAGGTTAGTTGTGGTCTCAAGTCAGGTGGGGGAGGGTGGCCTCACTGGGGTCCAGGGCCCTGAAGTTCTGGGCGAATCAGAACTCTTCAGCCTCCACTGTGGGCGGGTCAGAGCAGTGAAGTATTTATCAGAGTTCCGCTTTAAAACTAACCTGTCTCTTTCTTTTTCAGACGGCTGTTGATGTTTTTAGAAGGATAATTTTGGAGGCAGAAAAAATTGATGGGGCAGCTTCACAAGGAAAGTCTTCGTGCTCAGTGATGTGATCATGCTGCAGGACCTGAGGACGCCGGGAATATATTCTACCTGAGGAAGCAAACTGCCCGTTATCCTTTAAGAAACTATGCTTCATTTCTCTTCTGTTAACCTGAAAGACATCATTTGGGTCAGAGCTTCCCCTGCCCCTTTCAGATTATGTTAAACTCTGACTCTGTCCAAATGAGTTCACTTCCATTTTCAAATTTTAAGCAATCATATTTTCAATTTATATATTGTATTTCTTAATATTATGACCAAGAATTTTATCGACATTAATTTTTCAGCGTAGTTTGTTGTTTAAAATAATGTAATCATCAAAATGATACATATTGTTACACTACTATTAACTAGGCTTCAATATATCAGTGTTTATTTCATTGTGTTAAATGTATACTTGTAAATAAAATAGCTGCAAACCTTAGCCCTCGTTTGTGCTACTTGAGGAAGAAAAACCTTGTCTTCCTGAGAGTTTCTTTCTTGGCCTTCAGGAAGATTCCAAGCTGGATCCCAGAAACCAGTGGAGGACGTGGCTGCAGGAAGAGGCGTGGGAACCCTCGCAGGCCGACTTCTCCGAGCTGCTGGGTGACAGGGTTGGTGACAGTTGATGGAAGCTGAGTGGCTTTGGGGGTCTGTGAGGGAAGTTATTCACCATTAACGAATATTTTCTCTCCTTCTACCCTTAGAACCCTAAACCTTAACTGAAATACTTAATGGCAGTGCGGGCCATGGTGGTCACTGGCAGAGCATTCTTACTACCCTTTTCTGTGTTACGCTAGTTGAAGAAAAGGAGCTCTAAAGAGACTTTTTTGTGCCTCCTTGTTCTTAGCTAGCGTGATGTCCATGTCAGACAGGGCATGATTTAGAAAATAGATTTGCCTGTCATCGTCCCAAAACACTGAGTAGTTCAAAGGTCGGGGAGTATTACCCCGGCCACGTTCTGTGCTGAGGCGCATGAGCCCCACGCTTTGAACTGCTCGGTGGCTGTCACCTAATCTCTTGAGCAGTGTTTTTTAAATGATGCCCCTCCCCAGTTAAAATGTCACAGGGCCATTTCTAATACATAAACAAATGTTACTTTGACTTTATTAATAAAATATAATTTTGCTTTGCAACTGGTTTTTAATGAAAAATTATATTTTTAGAACATACCATTAATTGGGATCTTTTAAATATTTTTTCTCATTGGTCATTCTAGGACGAAATTCAAGCCTTTGAAGACCTCCACCAAATAATACACTTTTTAAACAAAAATAAATTTTGACAACGGTATTATCACTTATTAACGGGGTTTTTTTAGAACTGAAAATGTATCAGTACTAAAATACATAGGACCACATAAAATATGGATCTAGTTCATCCAGTCAAAGCTTTTCATCTCACAAGTAATTTCTATTTAAATGGAACTTCCAGCAGCAGCATATTGTACTTGAAACCTAGGTTCAGCTCTCCTGGAGTGGTCCTTTAAGGACTGGATCTCCTGATGGGAGGCAGCACAGTGTCGTTTTGGTACGGAGTCTAGTTCACGCGTTCCTTCAGGTGTCTCCTGAGCACCTGCCGTGTGCCAGACACAACTCTAAGTGCTGTGAGTACAGCAGAGAAAACTGCCCCCCTGCAGAGCTTGTGTCCTGCATTGACCCTTGCCCAGGGCGGCGATCTCACCACCAGAGCGTCTGTTACATGTTCTCAACCTTGGATTAGGCTCGGGACTGAGGGGCTTGTTAGCCCAGAAGATGATGGTTGGTAGCATCTTTGATGTGCTTGTTCTGGTCTGCTTCACAGTGTCCTTGTGAAATGGGTGACACCCTATTTACACATGAAGAAACCATCTTAGATGTGCGAGATGCTTAATTAAGGTTTCAGGGCTGAAAGGAGCAATAACCAAATTCATTCTGTGTCCCGTAAGCCTATGGTCCCAACCCCCGGGGTTGGGGACTGTTAGGGACCAGGCTGCAGAGCTCTGTGCCGTGCACCTCCCCCCCCAACATCCGTGGAGAAATTGTCTTCCATGAAACTTGGGTGGGGGGCACACAGCAGGAAGTGAGCAGCGGGAGAGTGTGCGCAGTTTCATCTGTATTTACAGCTGCTCCCCATCGCTTACATCATCACCTGAGCTCCGCCTCCCACCCCCATCACCCCCACCCACACCCCAACCCATCCGTGGAAAAATTGTCTTCCATGAAATCGGTCCCTGGTGCCAAAAAGGTTGGGGCCGCTGCTATAAGGTATTGTGGTATATATGAGCTACTAAAGAAATTCTTGAAACTGCCAGATTTGACTTAAACTATTTTTATTTAAATAGTTTCATCACCAAGACTTTTTTTTTACATTTAACATTTCTGAAATAGAAATCCGTCTTACAATCAATTATAAAACATTGTATCACCAGGTGCAGTGGCAAATGTCTGTAGTCCCAGCTACTTGAGAGGCTGAGGCCGGAGGATCTCTGGAACCCAGGAGTTCTGGACTGTAGTGTGCTGTGCCAAGGTTGGGTGGCCGCACTAAGTTCACCATCAGTATGGTGACTTTCCAGGAGCAGAAAACCACCAGGCTGTCTACGGAGTAGTGAACTGGCCCGGCTCAGAAACAGCAGGTCAAAACTCCCATGCTGGCCAGGCGGGGTGGCTCACAACTGTAAACTCAGCACTTTGAGAGATGACCCAGAAGAAACTGCTGCCTTTTAGAGGATTATCTAACACCAATCCTTGTAGAAATTTGGACTCCTAAGGAAATGTCTGCGCCCCAAGTCTGAGAAGTGTTGTCTGCTGCTGCCCTACCCCACACCCTGCAGCGCCCTTGGGTGAAGCTGGGAGGGGTATGAGCTCCCTGGAGGCCTGAGCATGCCGCCGCCGTGGCTACCCCGGTTGACAGCTCCATTGTGCAGCAGCACAGTGAGGCTACCTGGTGGACCGTACCAGCCTGGAAACCAGGAAGCCTTTGGTAGCATTCTTCAGAAGACCCCAGGACCATTCTGCCTCCTTCCCCTCCCCTAAGCAGGAAAGTGTTACATGAAGCAAAAAAAAAAAAAAGTTGCATTAAGCAAATAAACATAAAATTTTTGTGTTTCCCATCCTTATTACCGTACCGTACCCTACCTCCAATAATTTCCTAGAGGGAAACCTTATGGCCAGGTGAAGTCTGCTGTGGAATTGGACCTGGGAAGAGTCTGATACCCAATTTCACATCCTTGTTTTCAGAGGAAGGACCTGAGGCCCAGAGAGTTCACGGGGCGCCAAGTATACAGATCGACCCATGCTTTGTCCTGGTTTCTACCACACTACACTACACGTGAACACAGCCCGTGACCTGGTACCCGGATAGCCACGAGAAACCCCAGTTAAACACGTCATTGGACTAAGACTTGGGACATTCCAGTTCTGGTCCCAACTCTGGGTACCTTTGGGCAACTCCCTTATACTCGTGGTCTCATTCACTGTTACCCATAAAATTTACCTTTGCCAGGGATTGTTGTGTTGTAATGGCCCAAAGTGAGAAAACGTGGGATGTTTCCAAAACCCTGTGAAAACACCAAGTCATAGTCCTGAGTGTGACTGCGTTGACCTCAGGCCACCGTCCTGAGATCTTTCACCTGGTGTCAGGGTCCCCACGAATTTCTGAAGCTTCATGAGCTTCCACAACTGTGTCTCTGCAGCAGCAGTCGGTGTTGTGGCGACTCGGGCAGTCCTGCTGGGCTGCCCTCTTACTCCTGGGCTGCACGTGCAAAACGGCAACGTGGGACATCACAAAGTCCCTCTACAGGCAAGTCTACCAAATCTGAGGAGAAATGTGTCATTCCAGTCTGGCCCAAGGTGTCAGGCTACCAAGAACCACGATCACCAAGAACGACCGCCCTGGCAACAAGGACTGGGGGGTGGGTCTGTCGTGGCAGCATGGCGCTCGCGCTGCTGCGGGTGGTGGTCCGCACCACCGCCGGCGTCCTCGGAGCTCACCCCACGCCGGCCGCAACCTAGGGAACGGCCTCAGGTCATATACTTTTTAAGGTATGCAGTCTCACAAGGAATCGCACAGGATTCTGGAAATACTGTGGCCTCAGCAATCAAGACCTTTCACCCAGTTCTTCCTGCTGCCCAAGAAAGGCCTGGCGACGGCGCCTCGGATCTATTCCTCACAAGAACAAAGCCGCCGGCGGCCCGCCGCGGCAGGGAGAGCGCCGCCTCCCGGTGCTGTCCCGGGTCGTTATTCCCTCCCGCCCCCACCGCTGTCGGATCAGCGAAGAATTCGAGTGCGCCCCCACGGCGATCCGTGGCTGCTTTACACGGCGTCGCCGTGAGGTTAATGTCCCGAATGAACTTTACCCTAAAAGGCTTCCGCTGAAGGACGGCGAGGTTACAGCTGGAGCGGCGCGAAAGGTCACATTCCTGGGCGCTGACGTTTGGATTTCTGTTCGCTCTGAGGCGCGACCTTCCCTGTGTCCGTGCGGGCCTCTGCCTCGGTGGTTCCAAACGTTGGCTTCTATCGGAGTCACCCGGAGGCTCGTTAACACGGGGGGGCCTCGCCGCAAGGCGTCCGACTCCCCGGGCCCGGGGTGCGGCGCGAGACACCGCCTCTCTCCCAGGCCCCGCCGTGGCGGCGGCTGCTCGGGGCCCTTGCTGCGGACCGCGGACTCGCGCAGCTGCGCGGGGGCCTACGCCGAGGCCGAGCAGGCAGCGCGGGCAGGGCGACGCCCCGCAGGACGTCAGAGCGCGGCAGGGCGACCCTGCGCCCGCGTTTGGCGCCACCGGGACGCTGCAGTTAGGGAGGTGGGCGTTTTCGAGGTGGTCAGGTGATGAGGGCGGAGCCTCAGGGACGGGATTCGGGCCCTTATAAAAGGGCTCTGGGGAGCGGTTCACTCTCTTCGGTCACAGGACACGCAGGCCGTGCTGCCTGCGGGAAACGGACCCGAACCAGACCCGGACCCTGCCGGCACCACGACCTCAGGCTTCGCAGCCTCCAGAACTGTGAGGAAATAAATTTGTTTTCCTTATAATTACCTGGTCTCAGGTATTTTGTTACAGCAGCACAGACTAAGATGAGGAGGAAGATCCCCTGCTCGCGGTTGTCTCCTGCATTCTGCGTGCCGGGCGCCTGCTGCGGGCTGGTTTTGATTCGAAAACAAAAACCCTTTTACCGATGTGAATTTCACAAACGTCCCATCCTATCTTGGGGCTGCCTTGGAAGCCGGGTCCCTGCGGACAGTAGCTTCTCTCTCCTCCTCCCGCCTCTGCTCTGCCGAGGATCACTCGGCCCCGGCAGGACTGAAGGTGGAGGCGCATCTGCCCGCGGCCAGGAGGCTGGGCTCCCACCGTGGCCCTTGCCAGCCCCTGGCTCTTTGTCCCCCTCCCCTGGCTGGCATTGCCCCGCTGCAAGCTGTCAGACCAGGGCCTGCCCCGCTGCAAGCTGTCAGACCAGGAGTGAGCTAGAC